ATGAATTTTATGTTCTTGCCACTCGAACATAAAATTCATATCTTCTCGCCACCGTGTAATATCCTCTATAGCTGCCACTGTGGTCCTTTTGAGGCTGAATACCCTAAGAGGTACCAAAAACATTCTTTTAACCCCTTAAAGGTACGACGAGCACCCCGGTCATTTTTAAATGAGTCTCCCCACCTCGGGGATGGGGGGCGGGGGGGAGGGGGGTTGTGAAACTAGGAGGCATCCTCTCTAAGTTAAAAAGCTGGGATGTTTTTAGAGAGAAAATCTCTCCTTGTCAGATTATCTCCTCTTACAAGGCATTATTTGCACCATTCGGCCTAACTGGAAATTGCTCCTTAAAGATCGAGAGAATAATAACCAAATTGACAAAACTGTCTCAGACGATGATGTTCAAGATATAACTAGAACGACTTCAAGATCAATCTATTCCACCCTGGTCAAACGAATCCAGATTCCTCCTACTGCCTAATCTAAGTTTAATTCCTTATATAGTATTTCTGGTATATTAATCATCATCGGGTCGAGTCACTCTTGACACCAGAACGAGAGCCTTTCAATACAAAATCTTAAATCGTATTCTTTACACTAATAGAATCCTATATAAAAATGAATTTAGTTCCTTCTCTCAAGTGCACTTTTTGTGGAGATCACGGAGAAACTCTTGAGCATCGTCTAAAAAGCTGTGCTCACACTAAAAACTTTTCGCTTTCTGTTATCTTTTGGTTAAATACTTACAATATGAAATAACGATCCTTTTTGGTATCTCCGATGACAACCCTTGGAATTGTTTGTTAAATCACATAATCATTCTTGGGAAATATACCATTTGTTTATGCCGTTGTAAAAATATCAAGCCATCTTTATCCCTACTGAAGGCCAAAACAACAGAAATTCAAAAACTAGAACTTGTAATTACAAAAAAAAGAATAAGAAAAAAATCTATTCATTACAAAAAATGGCAAAACATGTTGTCGTAAGTATTTTTCTCAATAGCTAAGTAGCAGGTATATATTATATAAACATATTTAAGCAATAGAGCACTTTTTCCGTGTTTACGTAGCCTCATCGATATCTAAACACGAGGAGGGTTGGGAGAATTCGAGATAGTTATGCAAACCGGAGACGTAGTCAAGGGTTTGCATAACTTTCGAGAGTTCTCCCAATCCCTGAGTGTTTAGATGAGGCTATGTAGACATTGAAAAAGTGCTCCATTGCTTTTATAAAATAATTATCAAAAATACGCGCGAATCTGAAACGTCACAACCATGTTTACATACTCTCTCTAAACACACCTATCGACCAATGAGAGCGCACGAAGTAGCTCAGTTATTTTATAAACTGATATATAAAATGTATCCGAAGAAATTATTATGGGTTTATATTATCACCCATACCCTTAATTAGATCTAGCTGACTGTGAATGTAATGTAATGCAAATTTGTAATTAGCGCTATGGTGTAGGGTAAGCGTTGGTGTATTTTACTGTTATTGTTTGTATTGCTCTTGTAATTGTGTTTTAAGCAGTAATAAAATGTTAAAAAAATCTTAGCCTTTTGTTCGTGCTTGTGTTATTAAATCAAGGAACTTAACATAACTTAAACACTTAAATAAAGTCATTCATTTATTCATTCATTCATTCGTTCGTTCGTTCGTTCGTTTGTTCGTTTGTTCGTTCGTTCGTTCATTGATTTACATGTAACTTTCAGGTCACGTTAATTAAACCCCTTGTTACTGTATTCCTACTCAACAAGCACACAAGGGTCGTTAATTTTGGCGAATATTCCAATTATTCCAGATTGATTGTTTTTAATAAATAGAAATGATTTTATTCGTAATTTACATAAAAAGAAACTAAGGCTTATAGGAGTTTATATTAGGTACCGGTCATTATTTATCGCCTGGCCGGGGTGTCGGAGGAATTCCGGCTAAAGACAGCATTATTTAGCTGATCCTCCCTTCAAATGTTATTTTACTGAAGTGCTCCCCCTGATAACTATTGGTAAATTTCGTTCTCCCCCCAATGTCTTCGCACACATATTCACCTTTCGAAGTGTATATTAAGTGCTTTTAACTGTTATATGAAAGTAACATTTCTAACTATGATGCTGACTTACAGTGTAATGAAGCCGCCACGTTGCACTCTCTTGATCTGTCTTTTGCTAGTCCGGATCCCGATATCTGATCAGGGCTCTTAGCGGAAGTTTTCGCAGGCGTCCAATAAAGCAAAACAGGCGGCATAAATTACAGCCGGCGAGGCCCAAAGAAGCAAGTCAACCCTGGGGGAGAAATTTTGAAATTGCATTTTGGGGGGCAAAGTGTTACGGA